TTGCGGTCCTAGGTTGCATCGACTTCAAGCCCGCTGTCCAAGCTGACCTCGACGAAGCTGGTGTCAAGAGCGTTCAGTCCGCCCTTCAGCCTGCAGGCGAACTGGTCGGGGAGGCTAAGGCAAAGGTGATCAGAGAGGTCACAGACGAGCTCTTGCCATTCGAGGACACTGAACGCCACGAGCTCTGCGCCTTCATCAACCTCAGGGCACAGGAAGACGACACTCTTGCTTGCCTTCATGGTATCTTTCACTAGCGACACTAGCTGGCTCATCTGATCCGTCAGCGAGCTAACTTGCGTCCTCAGGGCCACGAGCTCTTCTCTTGACCTCTTTCTGTCTTCCGCCGCAGAGTCGCTGGAGGAATCACCCCCATCTTTGCGACCTGACATTCATAATGGACGCTCCCTCGAGGGACTGACACTAGTGGAAGATACCATGAAGGCAAGCAAGATTGTCCTCTTCCTGTGCCCTGAGGTTGATGAAGGCGCAGGGCTCGTGGCGGTAGTACTAGTGGAGGGCCGCCTGGTGGGCTTTTGTACGGTCGAACGGGAGGAAGAACTATTGCATACCGCCCGCCTTGAAGTATACCAAACACCACATCGCTCCAAACTCCAAACACACAGAAGTCGCCCACCACCTATTGCTGATTTAGAAAGAAGAAACTGGAAGAAACATTGAAAGCCATACAGCTGGCACCCAGAGCGGCGAATTACAGAGCAACGAACTACATTATTACACAAACAGCAGAGGCACGTCCTTGCTCCTCCCGCCGTCCATGGAAATCGACCGGAGGCATCAGGGTGACTTGAGCGACAGACGCAGTAGAGTCGAATTCTCCCCTCAATACTGCAAGCCAAATCAAGGGGAACTGCGGCAGCACCTTCCGACCTTGAGCACCCCGCGGTAAGTAAAACAGATGATGAAAAAAATCAACTGGTGGGGGGAGGGGCGCCAGTCAGCAAGTCGACGTTGTGACACAGGAATCATCGGGTTGAAACATTTCTCGGTTTATTTCGTTGGCACCATCCCGGTAACACCGCCCATTTGTTCCAAATTCTGATTAGCGTAGCAGCCGCCTCGATTCTGCAATACTGCTGTCGACTGACACAGTCTCGAAAATCTTCAAAAACCACTCGCCTAGCTATCAATACCCCCAAACCTTCCAATGGATGCCTCGAAACCGCGGGTTACGAGTTCCTTGGATGAGGTACTGGTAGCATAGGAATGCTGCTCGTTACGAGAAGCCCAGGCACAAGCAACAGCTCGAAAGGATCTTTCAATCATAGCAAAAATATACACACCCTGAAACAGCAGGCTTGGGCTTCCGCTGAATATCTCTGCGAGATCCCTTGATCGGAATAATCCGTTGTGCAGCCAGAAAGCTAGCGAAGAGCCCGAGTTCAAGTCCGAAGCCGGCTGTCACTACGCCGATGCCTGCTTCTTCTTGGTCAAGTTGACAGTCTCGCGTTTCAGTACGTGCAGCAAGGTTTGCGAACTTTCGAGGATCTTCATGTACGCCGCCTGTTCGAACAGTCGGATGGGGAGGAAATACAGCAGTTAGTTAGCACCCGCGTTCAAGACACGTCAACTTCGTGTCGAGGCTCGAATGTTTATTTCGTCACCACCGTCGTCGAGCATACAGGTCATTTTATCATCATATCGAGTTTATGTAGGATCCACTTGTGAGGTGTGTTTCTTTGTCCATTTCTCTAATTAATCACCAAGATCTGAGCCTTCGTTTTGTTTCTGTCAGTTTTTTTAATAATCGAGGGCGCTAACTGCAGGCGAGCGCGGTTGATGAGCGGTAATCGGCAGCAGAGACGGGTCTTCCGGGTTGATCACAACACAAGCTAAGAGGGAGAGCACTACTGCGTGCTGGTGCACGTCACGTCTCCCTTTCTAGCAAAGGAAAATTACTTTCCTCTTTTTCGCGTCTACCCTAAGCCGAGCCTCCACATTGTCGATACAGCAGTGCCATCACGAACGAACATTGGTGCGAGCTCAACAGGATTTCTTGAGGAAACACGACCAAACGAGAAGAAGGAAATGGACATTCACACCAAGAATAACCACTGCGCTTCAGCTTCCAATTTACCGCTTGAGGAACCAAGACCAAACCGGAAAAAAAAAGCAAGAAACTCCCAAGAACAAACACAGCCCCCATAGCTTCCAACTAAACTAACCTCTGTCTCTTGCACGGTGCGATCGTACTCATTTCTAGCTTGGACCTTTCGCGCGAGGCTCTCGTTGATCTTGCTCAGCCGGTCCGTCAAGATGCTCAAGTCCTTCTGAATCTTGGCTTTTTCCTCCTCCTCCTTTAAGATCTGCCGGTTGACCTGTTCAAAACCACCAGGGTGGTACATGCAGAGACGACGAGAAGTCGGGTAAGTACTTCTTTGGTTGTGTGCAGTAGAAACATGATACTGACCATTTACTTGGCACGCCTTTGGAGCTGGTTGACCACCCGTCCTACTCGTCCCGACAGACAGATCTTTCGTGTTATTGAAGCTCTGTATTTCCAGTCTTTGCGTGGGACGTCCACCAAGTTGCTCTTTGGCACCGCTGTGTCGCTACAAATTCCCCGCCCACGAAATAGGACTCATGGTACCAAGTTGTCAACAACGAGAGGCTGTAGCTGGTTGCAGGCTGTTGGGGAGGGGGTCAGAACGGCTCTTGGTTGAAAACCACGTGTTTCGGCTTGAAATAAAAATCACTTATCGCAACCGAGCCGTACGACTCTCTGCGGTTTGAAATTTGAATCCAGTAACGTATTGGAGTTTGTAGCGCGCCAAACAAACCTTGCTTTTCGTCGCCAAGCCAGCGTGGGGTAGGCCTAATGTTGAGGTTCAGCCTAGCTATGCTCATTGCGACGAAAACGGGTCTGAAACACAAGCAGCCGAGCCCCCAACGTTGTGAAATCTTCAACTTGTGCGTGCACATGAAGCGAGGCCATCGTTTATCACACGACACGCGAGAGTTCGGGACGCTTCATCTTGTTGGATAGAGAAAATCATGGCTCTTCAAACCAGGCCTGTCGACCCTGGCTGCTGCCACGTTCCTCGAAACGAAACGCCCCGAGCCTGGTCTAAGTCGATCACAACCACACCCACCCATCCCCAAACTTGTGGCCACTCTCGCCAGGGAAATCAACACGATTCGGGTGAGCTTTTCTGATCCGTGAGCGATGCTGAACAACCCCTGAACAGTTCGAGCCGTCACCGGCCCTGCAGTCAAGGCAAGCCCAACAAAAAACAAACGAATTGCATCAATAGTGTCCGGGCATGCCACAAATACAAACGCCGATGCACCAACGGCAACGGCGACAATATTAACAGTAACGACGACGACAAGGACAACAAAAAAAAAACGCGCATATGACGACCACCATGACGAATCACTAACCTCTTCCCGCTTTTCCCTCAAGTCCTCAATGCACTTCACCAGCTCGTTGTTATAGTTTTGGAGTGTGGCCCCCTGTTGCGCCATGCCCGCTACGGCCCTGGAGAGGGCGAGAGGAACGAAGCACCGAATGACAAAATAAATACGAAAATCACAAGGAAAATGACAAAAAAATGGAGATATTAACCGTACGGACTATAACTGCGGCTCGTTGAATAAGATTTGAAAGTATTAGATAGTTTAGCACGTCTGGGTTGCATACAGCCTTTGTACCCCGAACGTGCAGAAGTGCAAACGGAAGTATTAGTCACGTCCGAAAACACGTGAAGTGAGTACAGGAAATACGTCACGCCATCAGGTCTCGTCCAAGACTACGTGAGTACTACGCCAAACCGTTGCATTTCCTGCCCCGAAAGAAAGCGACGGAACGGCGTGATCTCCCGCCTTAACCTCGTATGTGTCGTAGAGGTTACGTACTGTATGAACTTCACCGGGGCAAACGTAGCTGGACGGGTGAAGGTTTCTTGTCTACAATCACCTTCGCAAAACTATTAGCCCTCTCTCCCTCCCGCTTGGCGACAGCACACACGAACTGCGGGGCGACAGTGTTTTATACCCGTCATGTTGTTGTGTTTTTCTGAATGCTCGTGGTTGATACACTACTGTTTTTGTTGTACCGCTTGTTAAATTGGGCTACCCTTTGCTGGTGTGCCGATGTGCTACAAAACTGATCCAAGTACGCTGGGGTTGCGCCTGAAGTATCTTTCTACACCTCATGGTCTCCTACACTAGGCATCTTGTAACCCGTAGATCCATCGTATCGAAGAGGGTCTAACAACATTGGTCTTGAAAGCTACATGTACGACAAGATGAGCGTAGGCCAAGGCAACGCCCAGATAAAGCGGGCTGGTAGTTCTTCACCTTCCTCTCGGCACAACGGAAAAAATAACCCCAACCCAACCCTCCGCCCGAGCCAATCATCCCCGGCCGTGTCGACTGTCACCATACATGCTGTTTGATATGGCAGCAGCTCGCCATCGCTCAACAACTCTCGCGTGATAAATCGTAAAGCCAGGGTCACCCCCCCACCCGCCGGAGTTACGAGCGAGCTTCACAAGCGACAATCCGTCTCTCCGGATCGGAGGTTTAGGTACATGAAGTGGGGGTTTAGACACCCTGATCCGCAACGAGCAGACCCTCTTAGGAGAAGCTCTTATTCATAGACGCAATGTTTTGGGAAAATTTAACCGTTTCGAAATCAGCGCTTGCATTCTTGGCTTTCCTGTTGTCGCCCGTTGCGATGAACGAATCCGGGTTTATTCGCTCCTACTGCAGTAACATTCACAGCTGACTGGTAGGCGAGCAGCAGGAACAAATAGCCTCCTGCCCCTTCCTCGTTTCTCTGCAAACATGATGCCACCAGTGGGACAAGTTGGTTCCCTGATTGTGACGCGGTGGTTCGGTGGTCCAATTTTGTTGCAGATGGAAGAAATTGTTCCACTGGGATTTGGCGCTGTTTGTCGCGGAGTATTGTGTCTGCTGATGTAGGTAAGACTGGTGCCATAGCTGGAATAAAATCGTTGCTGATGTTCCTGTGACACCGTGTTGACATCCTCCCAATTTTGTCCGAGACGCGCTCACACCGAAACTGCTTAGCTTCACATTTTGTATTGTCTTCTACTGAGATAACAGCCGTGAAGCACTAAATTATGCATACAATGGCACACAGGTTGCAACACTAGTCGGCGACGCAGCACAAATTCCACTCCACATGCATACCGTCGAAATGTTCATGTAGAACCCGAGATACTCCCTTTCTTGTCCCACTCTGTTTACCAGGTACCATGTATACATGCAGCAGCAACTTTCAAAATCTTCTTTAAGGCTTTCAAACTTTTTTGACCAACAAGCCCCGCTCGGAACCAGGGTGTTATCCAACGTAGGTTTGACGCCTCTCTCTTGTGATGTAATATAGTAAATGCATTGACGGCCTATTTTGCAAGGCTCCTCTCGTGAACGATTTGTCACTTTGGGAACGTTCCGTACGGGAACCAGCCACCACGGTAATGCACGGTAATATTTGGGTGGGAACTGGCCACCACGGAACGTTCCATACGGGAACCAGCAACCACGGTAATGCACGGTAATATTTGGGTGGGAATTGGCCACCGCGGGAATTCCCGTACGGGAACCAGCAACCACGGGAATTGGTTGGGTGGGAACTGGCCACCACGGTAATGCACGGTAACGTTGGATGGTAGCACCCCCCCCACACGGCGAAGTACAGGGTTCCTTGTCAGTGCGTGTGACACCCAAATATTGTGTCACAAGAAGAAAACAAAACCACAAAGGAGTGAACCTGTAAAGTGTGTTTTCTTCTCTTGTTCAATTGTTTGGAGATTACAGGCGAAATATCTCTGCGCTCCTTGTCAAATTACCGAAAGACGAAAGACGACGAACTATTTCCCGATCTAGTTCTAGAGCTACGCCTCGAAATACAATCACTACCGAAACGTGAAGACCGACGAAGGCACCACACTTATCTGCGAGACGAAGACTACCAGATTACCGGCGACAACGCACACACGCATGCTTAAACCACATGATACCGCCCGTACACTATATTATTCGCCAACAGCAGTTCCGCAGTTCAAAAACAATACTGGAGTAAAACAACACTTAAACACAATATTAGAGTGTCAAGACGACAGCGTCGCCAGCTGCTTCCGCCTCGACTTGTGCAACTTTCTCTTGGCACCGAGCTGCCGCTGCTTTGTTGGCCTCAACGGCGTCGTGAAGGGCCTTGACCTCTGGGATGTACAGCCTGTTGAGTCGGAGGAACATCAGTCGCTCTACCTTGCCGGGTAGCATAGAGCTGCGCAGGCTGCCAATCAGGAACGCAAGGGCTGAAAAGTTCCTCTCTGCCTGGCAGCTAGTAGACTCGATCCCGTGGAACAACCGAGCGATGAGCGCCAAATGCGGCAAGCCTGGCTCGACTTCGCCCGTTTCGGCGCATGTTCTGGGCTTGCTCCTCCGCTGCCAGAACTCAAGAAGCGAGAAGTCGTACTCCTCCTCGGCGGGGTCTTCCGCCAAGTACATCCGCAGCTCCCGCTCAACGATCGCGCCCCGCCTCGCTGTAGAAACTGCCGCCGGTGCAGCTCTACCGGCGCTAGCTGCCTTCGACTTGGCGAGACGTTGGAGTCGCCTTTCCTCCAGGTCCGAGAGGACCTTCTGCTTCTTGGGCGCAGGCTGGTTGGACTCTCCGCCGCCGCCCGCTCCACCACTCCCAGCGGATGAGGACGCCGACCCGAGATCGGCCTCCGCGAACGTCTTGGCCACGCTCTTAACGTCAGCAATCGCAGAGGCCTTCAGATCTGCGCTGCCGTTGACGAGATGCTCGTCCGAGCAATCCTTCCGTCTCGGGTCTAGCAGCGCGCAGATGCGCTCCAAGGGCATTCTTGCCGCCCCGAGCTCTTTCTTCTCCATCCTTGAGAGCACAACCTCCCGTACCTTACACGTCTCGGTCATCAGGTCGTCCACCTGGATTTTTTCCTTCAACACGCTGTCGTCGTTGTAGGGTTGGTCTGGTACGCGGATCTTGTACACGTCTCCGCTGAAGATCTCCCTGATCTCGCGCATGTTGAACATCGTCTGGCTGATGTGGGTGTCGGTGGCGCCTTGGATCTTGACGGTTACCTCCGCCACGACGTCCAGCAGGCTGCAAACCTCGTTCGTGACCGTCCACTCACGCGAGGACAACTTCCGGTTGTTGTTCTCGTTGTCCCTGAAGTACTCCACGATTGCCTTCTTCAGCTTGAGTAGCCGAACCATCATAGCGTGTTGACTGGCCCACCTGGTGGTTGTCAGTGGATAAGAGAAAGATCATGGGAATTGAAGAGAGAGGTGGTAGGGGTTAGGCGCTGGGTACAATTGTTGGTACACAATCAATACACAACACATTCCGATTATATTATGACACACAACCCGAACAATAACAGAACCTGCTTCACGTGGTAATGATGTATTTATTTATTTCTGATTTTAAGGTTTAAATACGCACGTGCAGGGTATTCAACGACGGCGCTGCTAATTGATCTGCACAACAAGAAACAAAACACGAAACGATGCAATATCGTAATATGTAATATCAAACACAGATTATGTGGGTACGGAGTATTATACGCACCTCGTGTCGTTGCGCCTGATTAGTTCGTAGATGATCTGGAACTCTTCTTGCAGTCTGTCTCTGGATGTCCTTGAGCTCGTCGTTGTTGACCGCGGAGTGGCTGAACACCCCTACTACCGCCGCCAGCCTCTTCATCAGCTTTTCCATGGCTGGGTTCTCGCCCGTTCTGATGGAACCATTTATCCCCAAGGCCCACATCGTGACGGAGTTGAGCCGGTGGGCGTTGCACTTGAGAACTTCAACATCCAAGTTTCGGCAAGCATTTACCACGTTGCCGCCCTGGTCTACAGTAAAAGCAAGGAAGACGTCCTTCGGCTGCACGTTTTCTCCCATCATGTCCGCGAAAAACTCCGTCGTCAGCTGCATGAACACAAGGCGGATCCAAACAAAGAAACACAAGGCCGATCCAAACAAAGTCAGTTGGTTTCAAAATATAAAATGTAGAATGCAAAATACAAAATACAAAAGAATAACTGTTAAAATACCAAATACCAAATACAAATCCGCATTGCAAAATTGAACATTGGGAACTCCCCTTTCAAAACACAAGAACTGGTGTACCACAACCACACACACACGAGCAACGCGAGGCATTTCAACGCGACAAGAAAAACCCAAAAACCTGGGTAACAGTCTTGGGTGGGCATATGCAACTAGTTCTATATTGCATTTGACATTGATACCGAATTCCGTACTAAACGTCAAACCAACTTGAAGGTTGTAAAGCTCGCCTTTTCGATCCATGGCTCGATGTCGGCAGCGGTATGAGAGCCAGGAAAAGCTCGTGTTGCCAACCCGACGCGCGTGATCGTTGTTGCGGCTTCAGCGATGTAGGACACGGAGAACGTGATGTACTCCTCGTTGGCGACGGTCGTGAGGTCCAGCTGGGCACCGAGGAAAGGGCCGACGTAACCAAGCTTCACACACGACTCCCGGTGCAAACGCAAGCCCGTCTTGACTGCGTCGCATGTCTCGGTGTAGATGGTGGACAGGATGGAGTTGAAGGTCGCGTCGGACATCGTCGATTCTACGTACTTGGGGCATAGCATGCCCATGTGGAGCTTGTAGCCATCGTCGTAGCGCATGTTCTGCGGCCTCATGTTGATGGCGCACCACACGACGAACCGGCGATTGGCCGCCGCTTCCGTCGACGCAAGCAGCGGGTTGCCGGTTTGCATGTAGTCCTTGATGGATGGTGTCGACGACCCGGCCTTGCCCTTGCCCTTGCCCGTCGCCTTTCCCGTGGGCTTGGGATCGAACGCTATATTTGAAAACAGCCAACACAAAAAATGTGCAGCGAACACACAGGCAAATAAAAAGAAATCCGGGAGAGATCAGGTTTGGACTATGTGTAGTGTTGTCTTGGAGATGAACAATACTCGCAAATGAAATGAACAAGATTTCAATAATACATGATATGCGATACATATTACCTACATAACAACTCTGTACTAAACTGCGCAATGAGAACATAAATCCTACACAAGACAATAAAACAACTACAAACTACAAACATAGCTGCAAATTTATAAATTAATTACATGTACTTGGGACCCAAGTGGAGGGCGTCTCAGTTGACACCTTCTTCTCTAGAAGAATCTAAAGAAATAAAAAATAAATATATATTAAAAAAAAAAAAACTTGAAAACCAAAACGAACAACAAACCACACAGAGAGGAAGGAGCACAGAGAGAGAGAGTGATTTTTTGTTCTCGCACACTCTGTTTTTTTTTGTTTTTTTTTCTAACACCAGATTGTACCCGCAGCAATGAGAGACAATACACATATTTGCGCAACCACCCACTCACCGACGGCCGCGGCGACGTTGGCTCTCCCTTGAGCGGTGGTGGTGTGGTCGTCCATCAGCGCCTTGTACAGGGCGGGGTGTTTCTTTTTGTAGTGGCTGCTCATGCCGCCCGTGCCATCAGCTGGTTTCCACAGCATGAGATGCTTGCATGCCATGCAGAACACGTTTTTTCCGTTGATGAGAGGCTTGAACTCGCGACACACCTGCCAGACCCACGACCTCTTGGTCTTCTTCCCACTTGTCTGTGGGACAATCGTGACAACCACTTGCGTCCCGTTGTTCGAGTGGAGCGTGCTGGTCTCTGCTGCACCGTCAAGCTGCGGAACCACACGTCCATCGTCAGCCACAGGTGCTGCTGAACCACCACCGATCGAAGAATCGGCGTCAGGAGCATCCACCTCAGCATCAACATGTTGGACCTCGCTCACCTCGCTCATCACCCTCTTGTGTGTCTATAGCAGTTCACACTCTTGGTGTTGTGTTTGTGTTTCGCCCTCCGCGGGCGGGTGTGTTAACAAAAGGGTTCTCTTTTTCGTTGAAAAGGTTCTCTTTTCGTTTGACAGAATAATAAAAATAGGGGGAAAAAAAAGAAGGGAGAGACAGAGAATCGAACCCCCGACCTGCCACCCGCCTGAGGATTATATGCAACCCTCTAAGCTACCTTGCTCCACGGTATTGAAGTACATATATACATGACGGGAATTGGTTTAACATTCCCGTACGGTATTGGCAATTGAATTTGTGCACGGTATTTGTATGGGTGGGAACCAAAAGCCACGGGAATTCGACTTTTTCCACGGTATTTGGTTGGGTGGGAACAACGGGATATGATCTCCGTGGTAACGGTTTGGATGGGAATGGGAAGCGGTCATTTGCTTGGTAACGGTTTGGATGGGAATGGGAATTGCGATTTATCACGGGAACGCTCCCATTTCCCATTCCCGTGGAAATACCGCGGTATTTTTCCCGCGGGAATATTCCCGAGAGGAGCCTTGCTATTTTGGGGGGTAGGCTGCATCACCGAAGCCGAAGATGACTACCAGTTGAAAAACTCCTGATGCAGTACTCCTAAGCCTGCACAGATAAGTGGTCTCTCTAGGACCTGCTGCATTGGTCAGCATTGAATAAGTAAACAACGCCTGTCCGGTCACAGCGAGCGGCGGGTTCTGCCTATTTTCTCTCTACTGTACTCGTGGAATAGATAGATACACAAATTCAAATTTGCATAACCGCATGCCGTATGCTTGTGGTGATTAACTATTCGACTGCTGTGGTGGGCTTAAACCAAGCGCTACAGAGGTGGCCTCTAGCATACACAGCCTGAAGCCGTTCGCCTTGCCATGTCTGTGCAGCTTGTACAGCAGTAGCATGGCACATCCGGTGCTGTTGCTGTGGTTTTGAGTCGCATCGAACGATAGGGTCACACATTGCACTTGACAGGCACTCTTCAGACACCTTGAACACAAGCACAACGAAGACCGAACAACCACGCGGGGTTCCCTCATACCTTTAGGTCCGAGCGGGCAGCTGTGTATCCTAGCGCCCCTGGCTCTTATGTCTTGTTGGTAACACGCGTGTAGTAGCTTATCTCTTCTGTCTCGCCACAAAAGTGTTCGCGTCACCGGAATCCGCCGCCGGTCTGCCTGGTGACTTCAAGGGTCGAGCAATCGCCGAGAAGCACTATTGTACCTAGATCAGAAGAACCAAGGGTTTCCGGTCGGATATCGTTCGGTACTCGTTGCCTGTCCAGCTTTTGCCCCTCCAAGGCTTCAGTGTGTAGTCTACGGTGGGTCGGCGGCGCGCGGCGCAACCTCCTGAACCGTTTCACATTTCTCGGGATTTGCTCCCTTCCTCCGCCACACTACCTCTGTGTCTGTCTCTCCCCATCTCTTGCCAGTCTTTCTCGCAACTACAGGCAGCGAGCTGAACGGGAGGGAAGACAGCACAACGTAGTAGCAGAAAGACAGGCGGCTAGAGGGGAGACATCAATTACCTCCTACCCACCGGCCGCTGGTTCTGTGGGCAGCACCTTGGCCCGGCACACACACACGATCTTCAGGTATTTTCTCAAGCCTTGTTTCATCATAGCTCCACTACGCGGCCAGGACCATGAAGCTGGAGCTCAAGTGCCGCACGGGGGTGCACAAGGAGATGGTGACGGCCGTAGCCTGGACGCCGGAAAACGAGCTGTACTCCATATCGGACGACAACACCGTTCACCGCTGGGACGGCTCCGGCGATCCAGCAGGAAAGGTGCGCGCGAATGCCGACTGACACCCCCGTACAAACGTACAAATACAGCCAGTACAGTGAGTGGAGTTTGGGGGAGCGATCTTGTGTATACGCTTTCGTGTTGTGCGGCGCTGCCTCCAGATCTTGCGTGGATACAAGCCCGAAGCCTCTCGAGGTAATTCCTGCCTCTGTTTTGGCAAGAAATCCCGATAGGCACGCGACCAACACCCCTGAAGAACCTCCCACACCGCAAACGCAAGCCGTATCAGACAACGCGGGGAGTGGTAATCAATGGGAAGCACAGCTCTCTGCCCATATCTCAGACGCCCACCACAAGCTTACTCCCTGTCTTGTGCGTTCTTGGCTTGCAGTACAGCAGTGGCGTGCATGCTCCACTTCGAATGAGCAGTGATGACCATGAGCGGCCGCCTGCGCTCAAAGGAACATCTACGGTTTACGCCCGCAGCACAGCTGATGTTCCCCCGCCTTTTCTCAAGTCCCTGACTGCTGCATGCTAGATGTACCCCGTCCGTGTCATGACCTGAAGTGCATCGCGCGTTTTGTTTCGCCTGAGGCTCTCCGCTGTGTTTGCACTTTGCTTCCGATACCCGAACCCAAGGGTGCTTGTTTTCAACATGAATACGGCGAAGTACGTAGATACCGCAGCTGTGTGCCACGTGTGCTCTCGGTGTTTACAGCAGTACAAGCAGTGCTTTCGTTTGCTGCACGAATTATGCTAACTTCTGCGCGAAGGTGGGGTCCTTAGTCAGGATATCCCCCTGTTTTGTGTGCGCCTCGTGTCGTTTTTGCTTGCGACCATAGCAAGTTGTTTCTTGGCCTTCCAAAAGTAGCCGAGAAACCGTAGACTGCAAGGAGTTACTGCATACCGTAGGTGACACAAGATACCACGCCCACAGAAGACACCACACCCCGAACGAAAATGTACAGAAAACCACATGTGTGATATTTTTTTGAACCCTCGAGAAAAGCATCGACATATCACACTGTCACGGAAGATAGCACACCCCCTAAGTTGAGCCGGGAATATATATCACGGAGCCCCCTAGCACACCCGAGTGTGGTGGGCCGTGACCACGCACAAAGCGCACGCAACCCTGCGCTAGAGCTCTGGCGACCGACAACATCGCGGAGATAAAGGAAACACACGACACTGCTGAGAGTATCGCGGCTCCGACTGCCGTGAGTCAGACTCCACGGGTGGAGCCACGCCCAAGTACATTATTTTTCCTGCGGCCCCTGAGACACCCGCAGCGCCCGCTGTGCCTACCGCCGCCCGTGCTGCTGAGGCCCGCGCAGCAGAACGTCCTGCTGACACTCCCGCAACAGCACCTGCGGTGCCTAGCACCGGGCTGCTGAGGCCTGCACGACACCACTTGCAGCCGAAAAGGCAGCCACACCGCCCGCCACAGAGGCCCGCACAACCTCGCCGCAATCGAGAAACCATGACACCCCTTTGTTATCACACCCCCGGTAGGGCGTGTCGGCGCACACTATTCATTTTCACGGGTGACAGTATCACAACCCAACTTTTTCACACCTCCTGCGGGGTGGCGGCGTGGGAACGAAATTTATCACACGTGTCACGCAAGATGTCACACCCCCTACAGAATACCGCACCCGTGTGATAACTTTTGGACCTCGACAATTGTTATCACACGGGTGTGGTGTCTTGTGTCACCTACGGTGTTGTAGCGGCCTGAACAGTAACGACGACGACGACGACGACGACGACGACGACGACGAAGACGAAGACGACGACGAAGACGATGACGATGACGACACGACCTAGACTACATCTGTCTCGCAAACGAGCATACATTCGAAGCTTTTTTCCGTGTGGACAACATGCCTAGGGGGGGGGTGTACTCATAGTCGTGCATGCCGTAGTCGTTAGACCATTGACCTCGCATCCCTACAAAGCCGGGACGGAGCACGCCGGGTTCTCACCGGACCAGGCTCTCACATCACCAAGCGCGAAGCGCCGTGAGATATTCGGCGAGTCGCATGAAGGGTGCGCTGCATCCTGCTAAGGGTGTTCGGCATCTTGTGCTTACTTCCTTGCGTACGGATGACAGCTGCGTATGAATTAATTTATTTTCTGGTGCTTTCACTTCCAGAGACAGTTGTAAGCACTGTGTAACTGCCTCGAGGGTGCTTGACCATTTTAACACAACGTGGTGCGATCATCCCCCTTGCGCGGAGTGAGGGTTCTCCACCCCGCACAACATGATCTACTCGACCACCATTATGGTTACCCCCAAAAAAAAAAAACGGAGGAAAAAAAAAAAAACGGTAACCTGGTTGCCGAGTTCACGAAGTGAATTGGCTTGTTTTACAACGTCGTTGCCAAGCGACGAAAACCCAATCCCGATGGCAAACACCGGGGGGGGCGGCTTGTTTTACAACGTCGTTGCCAAGCGACGAAAACCCAACCCCGATGGCAAACACCGGGGGGGGCGGCTTGTTTTACAACGTCGTTGCCAAGCGACGAAAACCCAACCCCGATGGCAAACACCGGGGGGGGCGGCTTGTTTTACAACGTCGTTGCCAAGCGACGAAAACCCAACCCCGATGGCAAACACCGGGGGGGGGTGCCTAGGGGAAAGATAAATGTGTTGAAGTCCATATTGCCGGAGGCGAGGTTGCCGGGTGTGTGTAGATCGGCACGCCCGTTCTTTTTTTTTCTTGTCTTCACTTCTCATCAGTGCTCACAGCTCTTGTGCCTTCACTCCAACCCGTGGTCGCAAAGAAGGGTTCCTCTCCCTGAGGCCAGTGGGAGCACACAAAAAAACATATCAAGAATAAGTGTTGTGGTAAGCCTCCCCTTTCCAAGACTCTGCTGAAGGGTCAACGATACCAAACAGCCGCTGTGTGCAACAACACCAATTCGCCCGCATTTTCTGCGAAGTTCTTTGTTGCCTCCAAAACAACGGGGAAACCCGACAGCGGTATCGTAAATGGCGAAGGGGTCAACAAAAACACTGCCCTCAACGGGACGAGAGCCGAGGCCTGACAGACACCCTGTCGCATCCGAAATAGGTTACCGGGCTGGATGCCTTCGTGACATCTGTTAGCTGGTTCCCGAGCTCCGGGGCGCGGTCGTCGGACGTGTTCGCCGCGGCGTGCTCGGACGGGACCGTACGGCTCATCACCCGGGCAGGGAGGGAAGAGAAAAAGGTGCGCTAAGTAGCTTCAAGGTGGTCTGTGTCCGACCAAGTTTTTAGATAGCGCAAGTGTAGGCAGGTGAGGGAAAAGGGTCGTTGTCAGTCTTTCGTCTACCGATTCTCATGTCGCGTCAAACCGCCGCCACCACCAATGTTGCGTTGCTGGTACTTGCCTCCCGCCGCCGGTTATACCGTGCGGACCACTGTGTGATTCTTGGCCTGTAGGTGTCGGCGCACATGGGGGCGGTCGTGTGCGTTCGCTGGAGCCCAGACGGGAGCGCTCTGTGCTCCTGCGGCGAAGACGGAGACGTCAAGGTACCACAGCGACAGAGAGCGCGCGGGGAGAGAGAGACAGACAGGCAGGAAGATAGGCAGACAGACAAATAAACGAGAGGAACAATAACTAATCGTAGCTGTACTGCGCTGTTGGTGCAAAAAGCGTTGCTCAGCCCAGCAAGGGATGCGACGAGGATAGACAAAGACCGGGGGAAACCGACGAAACCAATTCCCCTATTCTACCCTCCCTACCAAACCCTACGCTCGTCTCTCCACCGCCCCCTCCCGCGCGCATTCTATCTCCGATGAACACGCACACGTCACGTATCTTTGAATCCTCGGTTGGGTGTGCTCTGTTGAACTCGAACCAAAGTCAGGAATCCACAAAGCCCCCCCACTCGCAACGGTAAACTCAGATTAGTGAGCACTCCCCCCTCGCCGTCGCAACTGTGGTGTATCGCCCCTTCCTTGCTACAAGATTTGGTCGAGATCTGGCAATCTGCGATCCACGTTGATGCAAACCGGTCACAGCCTATACGCGCTTGCTTGGAGTCCTGACTCGGAGTCGGTGGTGGTGGGAGCCGGGCGCGATCTAGCCATCAAGGGTGTACAGGTCAGTTGGGTCAGATCATGGTGAAAATTATTAAGACAATCACTGGGATGGGACCACTAAATAGCTGTTGAAATTGAAAAAGGCCAGTCACAGAAGAGTTCCCCATCGGCGTGTAATGCTATTATTGCTGTGCCGGATGCGATCTAGGCATTGCGCGAGTGCAGGTGTTGGGCTGACGGGGCGGTGGTAGCGGAAAGCAGGCGTGTGCGTGTTGTTTCAATGCGAAGTGCTCAACTCTACCTTGCAAAATGGTGTTTCGTCCGCATGATGACCACGGTCGAAGTCATTTCTACGTTCAGCACAACGGTTTTGGTGCCATGCCTTTTTCGATCTGTCATAAGTCGAGGAATGCTCTTGCTTTATATCAACCACTGTTCTCAGTTGTGTCTGTTAATGTATTCTAGTTTCACGTCTTGACACGGCAGCAGGTCCTAGACTAGAAGCTGTTGACTTTCCAGTATTATTTGCTGCTTCGTCAGGTATCGTTTTGAGCTTCGCACTTTGGCTTTGCTTGGCACAGCGCGGGTGCATGCGATGGATCGAGGCACATTCATACTTGGGTCTTCCTGTTGTCCCAACCTTCGCAGGCTTCGCACTCGGAGCCGCATTCACAACTAAACTTGTCATCGTCTTAGTCTACCTACCTAAATCTTCGTCTACATTGTCGAAGGTCACTGACCTCAATACTACGTATGTTATACCTTCAGCTGTCTTTGCATCCATTGGTCCATGTAGGTACATCTTCAACCTTGCTCTTCGAGCTTCCCCGCTACCGGAAGACCTTCTACCGGGGTCCACCCAGATGCTCATATCGAGTTTGTGTTACTCCCCTACAGATAGCGCCCGCACTTAAGAACTTAGCAGTTAAGAAATTGAGACTCGCAAAAAATCAGAAGCTAAGAACTTGAGCACCATTTGTGACCTCGGTTGAGAACCCCACACTAAAACCTATATATCGGCCATTTGTAGCCCATAAGAGGATGATCAGCAAAATAAGAACCCCAGCCTCGGCCGAAACTAGAGGTTCTTAAGTGCGGGCGCCATCTGTACAGCACTCACAAGTTATCCCACGAGCGAAGTTCTCCCGGCCCGCACTATTTCAAGCACGGGCATACTCATACTTATCGCCACTAACAGCCCCGCTCTGTATCCAAGAGACTCGCCTCTCTTTTTATCGCCAAGTGGTTTGTCCCAAGACGTGGGCGTGTGTTGTGCGGAAGGAGGTTAGATCGTGTGTTCCGCAGACGGGTTAGATCCACGGTTAGATACACGGTACCGGCCGCCAAGGGAGGGTTGGTGCGCCAAGTGTTGCTATTTTTTCGAGGGAATCTGATCTCTCTTTTATCTCTCTTTCATTGACATCCTGAAGAAACTGTGCGTCTTCTTGGGCAAGGGGGACACCTCGATAACCCACGGCGTCCCCACTTACGTACCGCATTACACCCCACAGATTAGACGGTAGCCTGCCGCGACAGCCGTAAAAACTGCGCCTACCGTGCGGTTAGTTCGGCCATTCCTGCAGTGAGGGCTCGTTGGTGCCAGAAATACAGTGGCATGCCAAGGGGCGAGTGCTATTGTTCCACTACTGGAGATTGTCTTGCATTGGCCAAACAAATTCTCCCTAACCCACAACGAAACGAGGATGGAGGAAAGGGCTCAAATAAGCTAGCACCACCGACTTACACTGCCCAGCAATACATATATTTATGTTTGCCACTGTTGTTGTATATCGACAAGTCATCAATGAACAGCCATGTTCTTGGTGGTTCAGTAGTAGTGAGGATATCACCCCCCTCACATGCCGCTAGCCGGCCCCGCGCAAAATCCGATGGTGAAGATGCGGGTGAGACAGAATCTGATGTTGCAGTTGTTGGCGACGCAGTTTGGAAACACTTGGAAACACCAGTGACGGAGGAGTTTCTGAGTTGGAAGGACGATTGACAGAGGGTATCAACGTCAAAAAGGTCAACGGTACGTTTTGTTTGTCGTTGACTCATTTACACAAAGAGATTTAGAAAGAACTGTGGCTTTATTTCCGCGGGGGGCGTCGTCAGGGAACCTCCATTTGGCAAGAACTTCAGGGACACTTGCTTTTGTAGATACACCAAACAACCAACTGGACCGATTTTCAAAGCTCCATTGCAAAGCCGTAGTGGCGGTGTCAGAAAATGGTGGCAATGGAACGTCCCGTTGAGAGCTTCCGACTATTCATCATTTTGGCCTTGGCATCATCTTCGTCGTGGAGGACTTGATTGAGCAAAAAGCACACTGGGTGTGATATCTTACGCAACCTACGCAGCAATCCGTTGCGCCCCTCCTTGGTAAAGCAGCGATGGTAGACATGTAGACTAGTGTGCCGCAGGTAAAATAATATACACCCCCCCCCCGGACCGATTGATATAGCTCGAGTACTCGACGACGAAGAGGATGCGTAAATCAAACGAGACGTTGGCGGAAAGCTCTCAACGAGACAGCGCCTGCACACCACCATTTTCGGCACCATCATTCTGTGTGTTGTGCAATGGACTTGAGAAATTAGTCTGGGGGGTATGGTATCTTGTGTCACCCACGGCAGAGCATTGAAGGAAGAGGAAAAGTGGAGACGAAGGAAGAGGAAAAGTGGAGACAGTGCCCGACTGTAGTCTACCAACTTGGTTGCATAGTTATTGTGCATGCACAACACTGTCCCTACGCTGCATCGAGAATAGTGGATACATCGGACATATGCACAACAACAACAACAACAACAGTCAACCGCAGGAGGGGGTCCAACCCCCCCCTCCTATGTGACCCCGGTTGGGTCGTCTAGCTCGTAGAAGTGGAGGATGGGGGCCGGAGGGGCAGACGACAAAGTCCAATGATGGATGGAGACAAAAAAAATAAAAGCCAGCGTGATCTGTGATAACTGCATCTGTCGGATTCAGTCAACGCCACTGGGAGGGCGCGCGAGTGAGCACTCGATACCGGAGAACAAATCTTTCTCCCTCTTGAGCCTTTTTTGCTAGCGGTTGCTGTGCACGAGTGCACCCACACGACACACAACAAACAAAATGTCGCACATATTTCCGTGACGTTACCGTAGCATATCGCCGCCGTGATCATGCAGATCTTGTTGCTGATGCTGTCTGCAATCTCAGGATGGCGGATAAATGGTAGGGATAAAAGCGGATCTAACAGTACGCATAGAGTCTACATCATCACCGTAATGTGTGCATCGAGTAGTCTAGAGCTGTCGAGGCCCTCAGTTTCTACCCCGTGCTGCTGGCTACAAGTTTCTATCTTCTGTAGTACTAGTCTACTGCTCTAGATGCACCAGCAGTGTAGCAGAGCACAGCAGCCGTACGAGCCGCAGCAGCACTCAGCACATCGTTGGATCTGTCTCAGATCGCTGGCCGCCCCCAGCAGCCGCCTGCTGCAGTATGTGGAATACCGTAAGGTTGCGGGTTAGCGCACGGTCCGGGGTTCCCGCACGGTCCGGAGTCATCGCACAGGGGTGCGATGAAAATTTAATGACATTCTGCACAAGGTCCGGAGTTACCGCACAGGGGTGCGATGACTCGCAACCTACAGCAGTAGGATAGACTAGTAGTTGAGTGCCAGCGATTTCGGGGCAACTTTCACCCCTGCAACCATGCCGGTGGTGGCGATGGTAATTTTCATCCCTGCAACCATGCCAGTGCTGGCATGTAGCTCTGCTGTATGGGTAGGTAGGTCATCGTCGCATATCACAAGTGGAGGTATGAAGGACATGAAACACATTGGTATGCCGATTGGATCGGCAAACTTGAACATTGTCCGTTCAACCAAAACACGAGAAAAACAGCAGCCATCAGCCAAAACAACTAACTACCAATTTAACAGCAGTAAGTACCAGGACCAGCACCATGGAACAGCAGCACTATTGTTCCTACTCCAATGTTCTACTTCTTTCGCAACGAAACAAATTTCAACCCCGTCACTACCAGAAACATCTAACAGCGCCAACCTCCGTACTGCTGGGATGCACACACAAGCATGTTCGGGCAGCCAACCTGCCACTACTGGTACAACCCAAGCGAGTGCGAGCCAGAACGTTTACAGATCATCCTGATCCCCTCCCGTAGCCCCAACCCATGGCCCATCCAACAGCTCTACATCGCTGCCAACGGGTCCGCAGGGGCAGCTACTACATCCGCAGAGGAAGGGCTGCCACCGCTAGCTCCTGAGATCGCGCTAGCCCCCGTACTTGAAACCTCCGACATGATTGCCAAGCGATTGTGGGTCGCGTGTAGGCACAGCTCGACGGCGGGCAATTATCCATGTTTTCCGCCCTCGGCATTTCGTATTTTGCCGCGCTATATTTTGCGTTTTTTTTTTCCGGTGTGTGTTTTCATTATTAGCATCGACCGCGCTAACCGGCTGACCAATGAAAAGACGTCAGTCTCAGTGCGGTTGGAAACACAAAACACTCCGGAGTTATCGTACAGGGGTGTGCGTTGAACATTCTTGAAAATATCGCCTACAGGGTTTACTCAGAACAGCACAAACTGGAGTCATCGCACAGGGGTGTGCGACATGTATCGAAACCAAATTTCCGCATAGGGTGTGGAGTCATCGCACGGCCCGGAGTCATCGCACCCCTGATAGGCTTTTGCTCGATAGGCGATCGCCGAAAACGCCGATTTCTGAAAAAAATCGCCGCAAAAAGGGTAAAAAAAAAATCACCGAGGAAAAAAAAAAACGCCGATTTTGAAGGAGGCTCCGCCGTATCGAAAGGTGAGGTCGCCGATGGTCGCCGATTATATTCACGGTGCCCCGTCTCCCGGTGAGACTACATACACACAGCTGACACGTACGCGCTGTACACGGCTACACAGCTGAACGGCAGTGCGATGCCGTCGCCTCTTGGCGGTATGGAAGCCAGGTTGGATAATAGCAGTGAAAGCGAAGGGAATTCGGAGAAGGAGGTGCAATTCGTCGGCCAAAAGACAAGTGCCGCTGCTGCC